TCATTTCTGTGCACATAAAAACCGGGTTCATGCTGCTTGACAACACACATACACACACAGTGGCACTTATGTCAAACAGCAGAAAATAAATCTACAGTTTGAATGGTTTTTAATAATTCACATTAAAAGTACCTAGACTGACGTCTTTGCAGCTTATTTTGGCCTATAACCACTTAGAAGAGACCGGCAGCAGACGACATTTTAAGCAACCAATAATCACATAAAAACCAGACTATAAGGTTGAAGCTTCTGGGACAGAATTGAATGTTTTTTCCTGAAAGATTTGGCAGGTAGAAAGACACTACAGATGCTAAAACAAATCGGAAGCCAAACAAACCCATTTTATGTATACTAAAATCAGCTCTTGGTTTTATTCTTAAACGGTTGAGCCAGACTTATTTTTCTGTATGGCATCTATGGCTCTGACCACCACCTCCAACTTTGCCAAAAAAAAAATAATTTTTTAAGTTGGGTTGTATGGATTTGTGCAGTGTTATTTTTATGCCATTACAGTATTTTAATATTTTGAATACGTTTTTATTTATTTATTTATTTATTTATATTTATTTATATCAGTTTTCATTTAAGTTTTGGTAAATTTTATATGCTTTTTTAATTTTCATTGGTTTTTCTTCATTTTTATTTAGCTTTAATTGTATTTTCATTTCAGTTTTAGTAATTTTCACGATTTCTGCTTAAAGGGGTAGTTCACCCAAAAATGAAAATGTTATGTTTATCTGCTTACCCCCAGGGCATCCAAGATGTAGGTGACTTTGTTTCTTCAGTAGAACACAAACTGAGATTTTTAACTCAAACCGTTGCAGTCTGTCAGTCTTATAATGGAGGTGAATGGGAATCACCGCCACCTATCTCTCAAATGGACCATTGACACTCTATCTACAATCTCAATTAGGAGTGTCAATGGTCCATTTGAGAGATGGGTGGCGGTAATGCACTTATAAGACAGCGATCTGCCGTAAAGCAAGAAGACAAGTCACGCGCCGGCTGTCGAGGACAGCTCAGGACAGTTCAGACATTGCAGTGCATCAGAGGTAAAAAACTATATAAATACTGTTCAGTTTCTTGCACAGACCGATCGTTTCATGTCTTTACACATCAATGTATCGTCACGAGCCACAGGGATTAATTTGGTTTTGTTTGTGTATGTTTTTTTGACTCTCAAAGCCGTGATTCCCATTCACTTCCATTATATGACTGACAGACTGCAACAGTTTGACTTAAAAATCTTCGTTTGTGTTCTACTGAAGAAACAAAGTCACCTACATCTTGGATGCCCTGGGGGTAAGCAGATAAACATCAAATTTTCATTTTTGGGTGAACTATCCCTTTAAGCATAATCATTAGCGATATTTGCCTGCTGGTTATTTATCTTGAAGTTGTTTCACTTTAGTTTGCCATTTGCATTATCTTGCATTGATAACAAGCCTCCACAACCTTTCATGGATCCGGTTGCCAGATGTCAAGAGCTTAAAATCCACCAAACAGAGTTTCTCTCTTAAATGGACACATCTTCTGCCCTGTGGTTTACTTAATCTTCCCAACCAGGTAAACCACACACTCATCTCTCCCTACATTACAGATAAAGCGCTGATGAGCTAAAAACACTGGCAAAGTTTGGCATTCTCCATTCTGCTCAAATAAAAGTGTAATACAGCCAGTCTGTTGTTTGCTGCGACTAAATCTGCTAGCAAACCATGCAAGTTGACGTTCTCTTGATTTATGCTTGTAAAAGTGCAATAATTCTGATGAAGCGTATACAATTTTTTTTTACAATAACAGTGATAAGAATTTTTAAGCAAATTAATCATGATTAACTAACAGTGCAACCATGATCATGCAACCCAAATTACTTATTTTATTTCAGTTACTTTGCAAAGGCAACATTTCTAATCTAACACTTTGATTGAAAAACTAGAATTTGCTAATGGAGGTCAATAAAAACAAATCAAGTAACGTCTCTGGGTCCCAAGTAGAGACCCTCACCTGCAGGGTACATCACACAGGATCCGGTCATAAAACAGGATGTCCTTCTTCCCGTCCTGATCAAAGTACAGACGTGGAATGCTAGAGGCGTCATGGTTGACCACCATAATACACGGACTGTTCAATCTCTTGGCCTGGTGGACCAGCAGGTAACAGCGCTTGTTATCCACATCATTGGCAATTACAAAACCCTCTGAAGACACAGAAGAGATGGAGAAGAACTATGAGATATGATCATCTTAAATCTGTATTGGATTCATTATGTAAAGCCCATACTAATGAGTATCAGTTTACCAGGGAAAGGCACGTCCATGTCAGAGTGAACCATCTCGATTAGTTGAGCAGTCTTTGATCCTGGAGCTGCACACATGTCCAGAATCTAGTCATACAAGCCAGAAAGATGGAGATGAGACCTCACAATTATAAAGATTCTCGCAGTGCAGAAAGCACCCAGAGGAAAAACCTTCAGCTGGTATTAATGGAAACTCATGATGGTGTTATTGAAGATGTACCTTATGTTGAGGCTCAATTTTCAGTAGAAGAGGAGGAATCATACTGACTGCTTCCTGTCTGCTAATATTTCCCTGATAGAGGAAACAGGATTAAAAGAAAGGTTGATCGAAAACGATATTTGCATTTATTAAAAAGCCAATGAAGTTCCACAGATATTTACTGATTTTTATTTACCGATTCCGTTTCGCTGACCAAGAACTGGTGGAATTTCTCCAGGAGTGGAGATTTGCGCAGAATCTTTCTGCTCAGATTAGTGTGCCACGCCAGTTCATCAGGATACCTGTAAGAGCATGGTGAGATGGTGAAAGAGCACGCCTGGAGTGCCATGCTTTACAGATGTCCAAAGACATTTCAAATTAATTTACAAGTAAAACACATAAGCAGTTAGTTTTTTATCCATCTTACCAACTTAAGGGCTGAGGAGCCTCAATCTTCTGCCCATCCACCTCAAGATCTTGAACCTCTTTGAAGTATTTCTCTTTAAGAGTATGAAGGATTTCTTTGGCATGACTGATTACAGGGATTGAGAAAGGGACAAATCAAAAATGTAAAATTGTAGGGGTGTAACAATATATTACATCACAACATACTGCAACACAAAAACGCAACAATATGTATCATGGATGGTTGTGTATAGTTCATCATTTTATACTTTCAGGTTCAATTTTAGTCATTTTGATGTGCTTTTGTCATTTTTTTTTTTTTTTATATATTTCTATTTAGCTTGAATTTATCTTTATTTGAGTTTTAGTAACTTTAGTACTTCAACTTATTTTATTTCATTTTTTTGCCAAAACAACATTTTTAGTTTTTGTTTGACTTTTTTCATCTAATGTTTTGATAACAAAACTAGAACATTTTAATGGAGGTCAATACAAACAACTTAAGTTGCGTCTCTGGATCCAAGCATATAAATGAACAGTACTTTTTGTCATACGTCTTATATAATTAATAATTTAAACAGAGTTTAAAAAAATGTAAGTATCAATAGAGTATGATATCGTGAGATCAGTATCAAACAGAATTGTGACATTAGTGTATTGTTCTCTAAACCAGGGGTCCTCAACTCTGGACCTCGAGATCCACTTTCCTGCAGAGTTTTGCTCCAACCTGGACTAAACACACCTACCTGCAACTTTCTGGTAATCATGAAGACCTTGATGAGCTTGTTCAGGTGTGTTTGATTAGGGTTGGAGCTGAACTCTGCAGGAAAGTGGATCTCAAGGTCTAGAGTTGAGGACCACTGCTCTAAACTATCCATGAAAGCGGTCAAGAAATATGGCTTCATCTATGGCCTGACAGCAGCGTGGCTGATGGTCGGTAGTAAATTATAAGATTCTGAGAGCAGTAAATAAGGTAACTAATATTTTTTTTAACCACTGAAGTCATAATTCAAACGGTGTGGCAGTCAAATCACTGTTTGTCATTCAATGAAAACTTTAGACTTGCAGAAAACACCAGGTCACCTCTTGTATCCAGTGATCCGTATTGTAGCTGGCAGTGGCTCCCTCATGGCCTCCATGAACTCCTCAAACTCTCCCTCGGGAACAATCTTCAGCTCCGTGTAGTAATGCTCAAAGAGTTTGTTTTCCTTGATGATCTCTGCGTATCCAGCTCCCCAGCCCTGCCAAAAAAAACCCATGTGAGGGACTATTCCCACCTACCTGCATGCCATTTACCATGAGATGACATTGAAACCTTTGTTAGTATACATAGACAATCACAATGATATAACTACATAAGTGTATTCACTGTGCAACATAAATTATATTCAGAAATGAATCTGCAGTGTGCAGAAAAGTGCGAAGCTAGAGCAGTTAGCAAACTCACAGCGTCATCTCTGCTTCTTTTCCCCTCAGCTCTTCCATCTCTGTTCTGCTGAGCTCTTTGTCTGTTTCTGTTTTTCCTGCCCATGTTGGACACGCATATAACTCTGGATATAAACCTGCGTTGCGTTCTGACTGAGCACCTGCCTGAAGAACTGCACTTCTCCGCTCCTGCTGAACTCACGCGTTCGTGACACAAGCGCACATTCGACTGAAAGACCCCTTCCGTGGTGTCCGCATTATTGCCTGACTTGCGTTTCATTTTCTACCTTTAAACCTTTGACCTTCAGTCGTAATAAATGTATTGCCAGAAGAATAAAACACAACATACAATGGTACAACTATAAAAAATAACGCAAATAAGAATAGGTGAAATTATATTAAATATGAGGTTTCACCGTGGATGTTCTGTATATTTAATCCTGTATTTCACTACATTTTTGTAAAATATTAAATTTGGCAAGCAATAGTAAAAGATAAATAAACAAAATATTCTCTTTTTAGTTACTCATATGAGTCGCTCATGTAGTACTATCTTTTATCTATTGGTTAGAATTTAATAACTTGCATATATTAAGGCGTGTTTTGGCACAAGCCCCGCCCACCGCCTTTATTGATTGGCGAAACCCATGCTGTGATGGGCGGTTCTTTTGGTTTTCTCAATGGTGTCAGTTTGTGTTGTGGACGAGTTACGAAATATTACTCCAACCTTTCTTCTACTGAAGTAGTATTTCGATTAGCAATTATGGACGCTCTTCTGAAGACGTTATTTTCCTCGGAGGAGCAAGAGCTGTATGTTTTGGACTGCTTGTCGTACTTGATGATGGTTATGGCATTCATAACTTTTGTCACTTTACTCTTTGAGCACGTGCCCTATGGCAGATATGCATCCAGCAGGTATGGGTTCCCTGTGAATGTCAAAGTCGCCTGGTTCGTTCAGGAGCTGCCGGCTTTTCTGGTGCCTTTGAGTTTGGTGCTGTGGAGTCCATGTGCAAAGATAATGCACCTGCCCAACCAATTACTTCTGCTCATGTTCTTATGCCATTATGTGCAAAGGTAGGATTTTTCCTTGTTATACAGCATAAATAAATATGTATATATACGTATGGACATGCGTGAGTAAATAACCTCATTTTTCCTTGCAAGTGGTTATTTTATACACTATATATACACCTTACAAAAGATTTGTAATGTTTTTTTTCAAGTCTCTTCTGCTCATCAAGGCTGCATTTATTTGATCAGACATACAGGGGGAAAAGCAGCAATGTTTTGAAATATTATTCCAATTTAAAATACATTTTAGTATACTTTAAAACGTAATTTATTCCTGTGATCAAAGTTGAATTTTCAGCATCATTACTCCAGTCTTCAGTGTCACATGATCCTTCAGAAATCAGTATAATATGCTGATTTATTATCAGTGCTGGAAACTGTTTGCTGCTTGATATTTTTTGGGAACCTGTGATACTTTTTTCAGGATCCTTTGATGAATAAAAAGTTAAAGAGAACAGCATTAAGTAAAAATAGAAATCTTTTGTAACATTATAAACTACCATTCAAAAGTTTGGGGTCATTATTATTATTATTATTATTATTTTATTTGCTTTTATTCAGCAAGGATGTGTTATATTGATTTTTTTTAAAGTGATAATAAAGACATATTTTTAGAAAAGGTTTCTATTTTAAATAAATGATGTTCTTTTTAACTTTATTCTTTAAATAATCCTGAAAAAAAGTATCACAGTTCCAAAAAAAATATTAAGCAGCACAACTGTTTCTAATATTGATAATAAATCAGCATATTAGAATGATTTCTGAAGGATCATGTGACACTGAAGACTTAGTAATTATGCTGAAAATTCAGCTTTGCATCACAGGAATAAATTACATTTTAAAGTATATTAAAATAGAAAACCATTATTTTAAATGGTAATAATATTTCACAATATTACAGTTTTTTTCTGTATTTTTGGTCAAATAAATGCAGCCATGATGAGCAGAAGAGACTTCTTTAAAACACATAAAAAATCTCACTGATCCCAAACTTTTGAACAGCAGTGTGTATTTTTAACATGAACTGAAGCATGTATTTCTCACAGGTCCCTCATCTTCCCGTTTTTAATTCGAGGAGGGAAATCCACACCATTCATCTCGTTTGTCCTGGCCTTTGTCTTCTGCATCTATAATGGGTACCTGCAGGCAAGATACCTGAGTCACTATGCAGATTACCCACCTGGTTGGGTTACGCACCCCTGTTTCATCATAGGTAGGCGCTAGTGAGTACATATTCAGTGTATAAATGTCATTTCCATCATTGTTGCATATTCCCTTTCATATCAGATAGAATCTAGTGTTCGTTTCTTTCATTGTTTAAGAGCTGATGCTGGAATTCATCCATCACCACCAGGGCACCATCAGCATATGACAGAACACAATGCATTCGCTCTACTGGTCAACGAAGATAAAAAATTACTTGTCAGGATTCTTGTTACTCTCACATTCCAGATCACTTCTCTAGACCTTACAGTCGGTCACCTGTTGACCACTGCAGGGTAGAGATATTGGTCATCTCTCTGAACTCTAGCTGACCTGTCATGGTTGACCGAACATTAGACATTCCCAGTATTCATCTGTATTCCCTGCAGGCCTTTATACTAATCATTTTGTTACAGTATAGTTGAAATATATCATCTTGACACAACCGTATTAGCATTTAGATTGATCTCCATAGTATGCGTTGTACTTTTTTTTTTATTTTTATAAATTAATACTCAGCAAGGACGCATTCAATTGATAAAAAATGACAGTTAAAACAATTATGACGTTACAAAAGATTTTCTATTTCAAATAAATGCTGTTCTTTTGAGGTTTGTATTCATCAAAAAAATCCAGAAAAAAAATGTATCACAGCTTTCACAAAAATATTAAGCAGCACAACTGTTTTCAATGTTGATAATAAAAATAAAAGTTTTTCGAGCAGCAGATGATTTCTGAGGGATCATGTGACACTGAAGACTGGAGTAATGATGCTGGAAATTCAGGTTTACATCACAGGAATAAATTACGTTTTAAAATATATTCAAATAGAAAACAGTTCATTTAAATTGTAATAAATTGTAGTATTATTTTACTATATTACTATTTTTACTGTATTTTGCCTCGGTGAGCATAAGATCTTTCTTTCTTATTCTGAATGATGTTTTTTTTCAGGGTCTTGTATGTGGTTCCTGGGATGGATCATTAATATTCACTCTGACCATATTCTCAGGAACCTCCGTAAGCCTGCAGAGACAGGCTATAAGATACCTAGAGGTAAGACAACGATTATCAGGCTGACAGCACCATTTATGAACTGGAAATGTGTTAGAGTGGGAAGTGTGGCCTAAAATCTTATATTGAAATGGACTAAAATGTTGGTGTGCAGCATGTTTACCAACAATCACAACATTTTGAGTAACAGCATCATGCAGTTTTACATTTTAGAAACAGGCTTTTGATTTTATCACAATATATGAATATTCTAAATTCAAAAATGATCATAAAATTTGGTACCGATATTCATACGTGTTCAAGAGTATTCAGAACAGAATACAAATCATTTGAACCATAGCACATGTAGCTCAGTGCTGTCAGCTCAAATGGGTGGTCAGTGCTAAGACATCCTTCAATCTGTTCTCCTTTGAATCTGGCTTTGCCTCTGAAAGAAAATAAAAATAGATGCCCTTTCTGTTCCTGACTCATTGCCTCCGCAACTTGTCAGGACCACCCTGCTCTAGAGATGCTAATAGTTTGTGACATCCACTTCTATCTCTTTTCCCATACAGTCAGTGTCCATGCAGGATGCAAATGCAGTCATCTCTTACGTCACGTACTTTTTTCTTTCTTTTCTTTTTTTTTTTTAAAGGAAAGGTGTTTCAAAGCTGTCTGACATCATAGCTTCACAGGCTATTATCAAAAAAAAAAAAAAATCACAATATGCACAGTACAGATTAATGTGAGTCTGTTGATAGATTACATTGTTTAGCCAAAACGGTATGTCAAAGTTGTTTTAAAGGGGTCATATGATGCTATTTTAAGGATCATTATTTTGTGTATTTGATGTAACAGAATATGTTGTCATGTTTTAATGTTCAAAAAACACATTATTTTTCAAATACTGTACAAATTCGAACATCTGGGTTGTGCTGTTCTGTTGTAAATAAATCTTAACCAATGATTCCTAATTGCATTTGCTTCCGGAAGGCCAAATAAAGTGCTTTTGCTTTCGCACTGAAATACACAGCGTCTCCCTGACATGGCTGCATCAACACTACTGCTGTTCCTGAAACCACGCCTTCTTTCTTTGCATGCACATTTGGGCGGCATTATGCTAATATTTCCACATAGTGACGTAGATATGTGGGGGCGTGTTAGAACGAGCCGTTTTAGGTAGGCGTGGCTGACTCTTAACTTTTATAAAGAATATCTCTTTGGATTTGTGACTTTAGTCTTTGCAACTTTACAGATCTTCTTTATGCACCAAGAGCTTGTAACACTCCAAAGAGAAAGGAAAACTTGAAATCGCATCATATGACCCCTTTAAGATCCAAAGGCTTGTTCCGTTTTATTTGATGCATAAGTGATGACTGACATGATGAATCAGACATGTTTTTTCTGACATATTTAAATTCTAGTCAGATGGTTTCACACTTAATAAGACTCATGTGATGCAATGTCTCTGCTTTGAAACAAATTTGAAATTATTTCTTATTGCTTTGTTCAAATGTCTCTTCATAATTATTTTCTGTTCGTAGGGGGCATGTTTGAGTATGTTTCGGGAGCAAACTACTTTGGGGAGATTGTGGAATGGTCTGGATTTGCTCTGGCTGGTCACTCGATCCATAGTGCAGCTTTTGCTCTCTTCACTTTAATTGTGCTGTCCAGCAGAGGAATGGCCCACCACAAGTAAGACATTACCGTATGAAACAATGCATTCTTGCCCAATGTGATTGCACTTTTGTATGCTTTCAATTCTCATGTGTGAGTCATAATTAATTCAAAAATCTTATGAAACAATAATTCTAATATAAACAAGTGAGAAAAAGAATATGAAGCCTGTTTTAGGACAGTTTACATTGTGACATTTACGTTTCCCCAGTACATTTACTGCTGTAATAATTCTGGATTTTTAATGATTTTTTTGTTGTTGTTGTTGTTTTTTAACTTGTGAATTAAAAGTATATAGACGTATATTTAAAAACCAAAAACTAATAAAAATGACAAAAACACAAAATTACTGAAACATGAACCGAAATTAAACTAAAAACAAAATATAAAAATAAAAGCTAATGCAAAATATTAATATATACTATAATATTATCTCAGTAATACTAAAATAACACTGATTTCAACAACTATGTAAATATTTAACCCCTTAAATAATTTTTATTTCATTTATAAAAATTGTACTTTTTTTTTCTTCTTCTTTTTAGAGTGAACGATGACTTGGCATGTTCTTGACTGATTTACCCATAAATATTTTTGTTGTATGATGACATAAGTATCTGTGTCATTTCATTTTACAGGTGGTATCTCACAAAATTTGAAGACTATCCAAAATCAAGGAAAGCTTTAATACCGCTTGTGCTCTGATCATGTGGTAAGCCCAGCCGCCACACTCCCACAGAAACAATATTATCATCTTGAGCCCATTATGATTGCACAACAAATATTTTTATGAATATAAAATATATTTCTGTTAATTCATATTGTATAGTTTTCAAGGGAAGTGCTATCAAAATGTACAGAGACTGGGTAGAAATGCATTGAGCACTACACAATAATAATAACTCAATTCTACAAGACAAATAATTTATTTATATTATACAACAGCACGCACATTTATGAAGTGCAAAAACAGCATTACTATGAGAGATCATACAGTGTCTCAGAGGAGATGAGATACACATGGCAGACCATAATCCAGACGTTCCCTATTAACCATCTCTTCTTCAAGACAGTAACAATGTGTCAGCAAAATATGGACTTTCTGATCGTGCTGGATACGAGGCTATCCAAGTCAAACACATGATTTATCTGTTGAAGAGTGAGAACTTTTATCCATGTACTGCAAGTGTGACAGCAGAACCATTAATCATGTTATACACGCATCTGATCCAAAATGTTCAGCCCTTCATGGAGAATTTGCCATGCTGTCAGTTTGGACTAAAAACTGAAAAAAATCAAGATATTCCTGGTTAATAAAAGGCTCAGCTGTTCATGATAAAATGTGAAATAAAATGTGTTTAAATGTTACGAAAGGAGATTTCAATTTAAAATTCGTATTATGTTTACTGATGTATGCGTCAATCTTTAACCCCCAAAAGTGGACTGCTTAGAAGGTTTAAGAAATTAAATTGAATTGATAATCAATCATAAATTGATGAATTTCAACAGGGGCACATTGTGTAAATTATGTTGTCATAGCAGTGAATGGATTTATTATTGGATGTCATCATTTGACATTTCCATAAAGCCTCAGGTTGATTCCTTCTTAACAAAAGCACAACTAAATGCACTTTTCCCCCGACGTTTACCAAGATCTTTCAGTCAACAGATGGCAGGGATGATATGCAGTAGGGTCAGTACATGAAGCTGTCAAAATGAAGTATTAAGATCAATAACCAGAAGTATCCCAAGAGCGAGTGCTGCTCTCAAAGAAAAAGAACTACATACCTTGCCTTAAAAGGACAGCTATAGTTATTTATGTCAAATTTGTTTTGTTTTGCTTTTATACTTCATTGTAAGATACATACTGTATGTAGAGATGGTGGTATTATCATAATACTGTCTTTTCTACATTCAGTGTACAACAACATAGTCACAATTTCAACTCAATCCAAAAAGCTACAGCTTTTTTTGTATATAAGTTATGTTTGTAACGTCATCATATACCATCGCTGACATGTTTTGACATGCAGCAGGTGGGCTCTCATAATACCTTCAGGTGTAATGTATGAAGTATGGCAAGAGTTATATGTTGTATGTCAGCAGTGTCAGCAGTGAAAGTGGTTGAATTCATTTACTCTGGAATGTGGAAGGTCATATGAATTGCTTATAAACATCCTGTTGTCTGTAGTTTAATACTATACTTTTTTTTTTATTCAGTTGGGAAACTCATGGGGACTCATGTCCTAAATTGAGGTCCCCACGGGTAAACAAGCTAATAAATCACACAGAATTAAGTTTTTTGAAAATCTAAAAATGCAGAAAGTTTCCTGTAAGGGGTAGGTTTAGGTGTAGGGTTGGTGTAGGACAATAGAAAATAC